TTGAATCCAGGAACCAAATCCAGAACCTTCGTGGCCAGGCAAGGGGCTGTTGTGCTTTCAGAACGTCATGGGGCTATTGGCTAGGCTACCTTCATGAAAGACTTGCTAAGAAAAGAGGATTAGGCAATTCAATCTTGGGGGTGAGGATCAAAAGCTTGGCATTCAACAGTTTCATATTTTGTTTTTCAGTAGTGTGAGATGGCGCGTGTGCTTTTCTTTTATTGTACATGTCATTGAGCTCTCTCAACGCTTGCTCCTGCTGCATTTGGCACAACATAGAAGGAGCAAACCCACAGAAATCATTAGAAATTGACGACATGGTAATAAGTAAAACATTTGCTTTTTCACAGTTACAAGAACATGTTCTGGAAGAGTATGTGAGGGCATGTGTATCGATGAGCATCATATTGGGAAGGGGGAAAAGTGAAGCAAAGGGCACAAGGTTTCTTGGCTTCCTCTGTCAGACTTTCCTTGGCGACGTCGGGAAGATGGGCAGAGATAAGAGGAGGTTGTCGCACGTTCTAAACTAATGTTTTCCCATTTTTTAAAGAAATTGCTGAGTTTGGCTTCTTCTTGAGGCTTTGGAGATTGGCATCCGTTTGAAGCGAAGCTGTACCAGGCCTGGCTGATGATGTGATTGTGGCAACATGCCGCTTGCTTGCAAAACTTGAAATGGCAGAGGCTGACCCGCTCTTTCTGGAAGATGCTCACACAGGCTGACCGGAGGGATCTAGTCGAATCTAGTCTCTAGTTGGACCTGTTTTCATCACGCAATCAAGGGTGCCGGTAAGCAGTTGCCATGATGTTGAACTGACCAGAGGCTTGACCTTTGCCTTGTGCAACAGAGGAATAAGAAATGGCAATGCTGCTGTATGCACGTGCAGACTCACAAAACACATGAGAAAAACACTACCGCACTGTATTGTAATGCGCGCGTCCTGTCAGGTGAGATTGTCAAGGGGGATGTGGCAAAACAGGAAAGTCCACCACCAGTGCAAAGCGGGTCAAGCGGGCCAAGCGGGCCAAGCGGGCCAAGCGGGTCAAGCTTCCCAAGCGGGCCAAGCATTAAGGTGTCATCTTCTGCCGCACCGTTGAAGGATGAGATTTCCCATGATTGACTCGACAATTCCAAATCCATTGAACACTTGAGCCCGTTTGAGTTGGCGGAGGCGCAAGATATTCCTCTGCATCAAGACCCAGCAAAAACAACTTCTCCAGCAACAGTGTCTCCTGCGCCGGCACTCCCTACTCTACCTCCTGGTCGACTTGTCCAAGGCCGGGTTCACAACTTTTCACAACTACAAAGCTGAAAATGGCGCAAACATGCGCAAACATGATCCCGCATGCGCACATGCACACGCACATGCACACGCACATGCACACGCACATGCACACGCACATGCACACGCACATGCACACGCACATATATATATATTATATTGCATTACATTACATTACATTACATTCCGCTACGCTACACTAAATTACACTACACTAAATTACACTACACTAAACTACATTACAAACATTACATTGCATTGCTTACATTACATTACACTATATTACATTAAATCGCATTACGTCACATCGTATCGCATGGCATCCCATGCATGGAGACGTACGTACATACGTACATACGTACATACATTCATACAGACATACGTACGTACGTACATACATTCATACAGACATACGTACGTAAGTATGTACATACACACATACATTACATAGATTAATTACATGCATGAATTAGATACTATACGTACATTAATCACATCCATTATATAATTACACACATTATTTGCATACATCAAGTACATACATGAATGACATACATTAATTATATACAGACAGACAGGCAGGCAGGCAGGCAGACGGGCAGACAGGCAGGCAGGCAGGCAGACGGGCAGACAGGCAGGCAGGCAGGCAGGCAGGCAGGCAGGCAGGCAGGCAGGCAGACAGACAGACAGACAGACAGACAGACGTACACACGTACACACGTAGACACGTACAGCCGTACATGCGCACATACGTACTTTCATAATCTTACGTACATCCGTACCTACGTTCATACATACAATTAATTACACACATGATATATATATACAATAACATTCATTGATTACATGCATTAGTTACACACATTGACTACATACATTAGTTGCATACATGCATACATGCATACATGCATCCATGCATCCATGCATCCATGCATACATACATACATACATGCATACATGCATACATGCATCCATGCATCCATGCATCCATGCATCCATGCATCCATGCATCCATGCATCCATGCATCCATGCATCCATGCATCCATGCATCCATGCATCCATGCATCCATGCATCCATGCATCCATGCATCCATCCATCCATACATCCATACATCCATCCATCCATACATCCATACATCCATCCATACATCCATACATCCATACATCCATACATCCATACATCGATCCATCCATCCATCCATCCATCCATACATACATACACATACATACATCAATGCATGCATGCATGCATTCATGCATGCATGCATGCATGCATACATACATACATTCATAACCTTTAACTACATTAGTTACGTACATTAGTTAAATAGATAAATTACATGCACTAATTACACACATTACTTACAAACAGTACTGTACTCACACACACATGACTTACATGCATTGCATCCATCCATACATATATAAATACATACATACATATCTACCTACCTGGTTTCTACCTGCCTGCTTCCTACCTACCTGGTTCCTAACCTGGTTCCTAACCTGGTTCCTACCTACCTGGTTCCTACCTACCTGGTTCCTACCTACCTGGTTCCTACCTACCTGGTTCCTACCTACCTGGTTCCTACCTACCTGGTTCCTACCTGCCTGCCTGCATGTATGCATACATGTTCTTACATACATGTACTTTCATACATGTACTTACATACATGTACTTACATACATGTACTTGCATACATGTATTTACATACATACAAACAAACACAAATATACACAAACAAATGAGCGAACGACAAACATACATACATACATACATCCATGCACGCATGCATGCATGCATGCATGCATGCATGCACCCATAAACACACATACACACACCTACTATAGAGACGTATGTATGGGCTGGAAGACAGCGGCTTCCCTTTGTTTCTGAGGCCTTCTGGAGCGCGCTCAAGCAAGTGAAGAGAGTGAAAATGTCAAGGTGGCTCGCTTTACCTCAAAACCTTTGGATTGCACGCAGCACAGAAGCACTTGTTTTGTCGAGAGGAATGGGCTTTGCTCAAGAAATTTGGGTTTGGAATTGGGCACACAGTCGTATCCTTTTCGTTCAGTTCTGGGTTGACGTGCGTATGATTTTTGCGTGCTGGTCTATAGTGGTACGGCAACATGCAAGTGAGTGTATGAAGAAAAACAATGAGACACTTGAATGAATTACAGAGTGGCATTTAGACACGCAAAACTATTGCTGGCAACAAATGGTAGGGACCACAATGCCACATCTCAATTTCTTGGAATCTACATATCTTCTACTTGAACCATCACTCATGCAAAGCATTCCAGATGGCACGGCTTTTCCTGACCTGTGTTTCCATATCACAATTTTTATGTCGTAATTACCTGCATATCCTGCATCATCCTCCCACCCACTATCCGCAGGGAATCAACCCCCTTGACATTGTCACGCGGAAGGTCAGGCCTGCGGCGCCCCTTGGCTTGCAAGTACAGTCGCTAATTATGCCATAATTATGCTCTTAGCATGGGTCAGAACGGGAGAACCAACCGATGCCGTGCAGAAGTACCAAAAACGATATGACACAACGTGCGCTCAGACGCGGGAGAGTTTGCAAGGGGTCCAGCATTTCTGAAATCTTTGGCAACCTCATCTACAAGAATTGGCAGTTCAGGCTCAAGAAGTGACAGTTCTGAAAAAGCTCCTTTGGAATTTTTAGGTTTGCTTTGGCTATCTTTTTGGAAGCTCACTTGACGTTATCTCTCGGCAGATTCTGAAACGAAAAGCTTCATCAAACTGTATTATGTTGTGCGATATTTATATTTCTTTAGAAGTTCTTTAGAGGCCTGCTACTTATTGATGTCCCAATGTGGGGCTTGCTCAGCCCAATGAGTCCTTCTGCATGACTGCCAGCTGAAGTCAACAACAACTTTGTTCGCTGCAACTCCGTTGGTTGAAATTTCATTGCTTTGACCAGCCTTGAGCTGCTCTTGTTTTGGTGAGTTGGATGCTGTGCAGGTTCCGGATTGATTGGGTGTCCTTTCTTCCATTGCACTTTGCTTTCAGGAAGATCTGACATGTAAGATGGGCATATGCAGACTTGTTACTATGTACATGTACGTACATGTGGGCCTAGAAAAACAGGTAGGCATACAGACAGGATTTTTGGGGTGGGGCAGACCATGTATGCACACATATGTTTGTATCTAAATGTATATATATGTCTATGTGTGTGTGTGCCTGTAAGTACATGTACGTATGCATTGGCATGTAAAATGTCGATATCATTCTGTATATTTGTGTTTGCTTGTGTGTTTGTGTGTATCTGTGTTATACGTAACTGTTCAAACATGCGGGTACACGATCGTGCTTGCGCACACCATGACCTGCAAAGGTACATGTACCTGCGTTCATCAGTGCAGTGGGTAGCTGTGGGTGGGGACGAGAATAACTTGTCATCAATGAAAAGTCTTGGACAGAGTTGGGTACACAGCCTTCTTAGGTTCTCGTCTTGCTCCAGGGGCAGCTGGAGGATTAAGTGGATAGCATAGCTGTTGACCGCCTTCCGTCAACACGTTTCGTACATGTTACATGTTATATGGATTGCTAAGCTGTTGAAAGAGCCTTCGTTACTGTTGCCCCCACTGCAGCTTCTCATTTTCGGCCCAGATGGCCAGGTTGCTTGGAAGAAGTTGGCCAAGTGGGCCAAGTGTCTAAATGATTTGTTATTATTTGCAGCCCCACCATGGCCACAGAGGCAAACGCAGTGCAGATTCTTCAGGCGAGACTGGAAGCCGAAGGTGGCTCCGCACCCATTACATCTTTGTCAGTGAAGGTGAAGTGGGGTCAACATGATTTGCAGGGTTTTGGCCATATTAGAAAGTTCCTATCGAAACATCATGAGGTGTTCAACCTCGAGGGATCATCAGTGGCATTGGTCAAGAGTACTGGCACTGGACCTGAGACAGCTCCAAAGACTACGAGCAAATTTGCACCCCAACCCCCACCAGCAAGTTTGGCTCCGGTTGAAGCTCCGAAAAGAAGTGCTGAGAGAGATGGTCCAATGGGGCCAGTGCGTCCAAGTCCAAGCAAGATCCCGCGGCTCGATGACTCGACAGTCCTTGATCCTGCTGCAGATGTTGCAGAGCATGGCGATTTGAACGGGGCAAGTGTGAAAGGTCGCAACGGTTTTGATTTTGATTTTGCACCTGGTGCAGAGGCCCAGACCAAGGCTACCCTTCTGGCCACCGCAAAGACTGCTTCAAGGGCTGTAAAGGTCACGACAAGGGCACCTTCAATTCCACCGATTGCACCGATTGCACCAACTCCAAAAGGAACCGCAAAGGTCAAAGAAGTGAAAGAAGTCAAAGACGAGAGCCTCGCAGATCCAACTGATGCCAAGAGCCTTGCAAAGGAACCACCGCCGTGGCATACTCAGCGAGCCTTGAGCCGTGCTGTCGGAGCTACTCCACGCCAGGACTGCAAAGACGCGTGAAGGTGGACAGGAAAAAACATACGTCGCCCAATGTTATAGTGGGGCACACTCCGTGTGTTCATATTGATCTACACAGGGGTTGGGCTCCTCAATCATGAGTACTGCGCTATGAAGTCACGCGTTCTCCCAATGAACCCTTGCATTTCCTTTGTTTTTTTTGGTGGCACTGTATGGCTGTGCACTTCTTGTTGAGGCCGAGTCCCGGATGCTGTGGATAGAGAGATATAGATATAGATATATATTGAGCGACGGCTCTTATTTGCGTATATGGAAAGTAGTATTCGGGCGTACCCCGGTTTGTCAAAAACATCATATTTAGCTTGTAAAACGAGGTAGGAACACCCCGAGAACGAGGTAGGCAAAAACGTTACGGGACTGGAGAACGAGGTAGGAACACCCCGTCAATTGCGTTATGTAACAAATATGGTTCGCAGCTCTAATATATAGATATAGACAGATAATAGATATAGATAGATAGAGATAGATATAGATAGATAGAGATACAGATATAGATAGAAATGTAAATATAGATGTAGACACGGATATAGATATAGATTTAGATATAAATATAGATGTAGATAGAGATAGAGATAGAGAGATATAGATAGAGAGAGAGATAGAGATAGATAGATATAGATATAGGTATAGATATAGATTTAGATAGAAATAGAGATAGATAGAGATAGATAGATGTAGATAGATTGAGATAGATATAGATAGATATAGAGATAGATAGAGAGAGAGAGAGAGATAGATAGATAGATAGATAGATAGATAAATAGATAGATAGATAGATAGATAGATAGATTAGATAGATAGATAGATAGATAGATAGATAGATAGATAGATAGATAGACAGACAGACAGACAGACAGATAGATAGATAGATAGATAGACAGCTAGACAGCTAGACAGCTAGACAGATAGACAGATAGACAGATGAAAGAGAGAGAGAGAGAGAGATAGAGAGAGATAGATAGATAGATAGATAGATAGATAGATAGATAGACAGACAGATAGATAGATAGATAAATCGATGGATAAATGGATAGATGGATAGATGGATAGATGGATAGATGTTGGAGTGACCCCCCCACTAACAGTGGAATAATGGATTTTAATTGTAACTTCCCAGCCAAAATTGCACAACAACCCAGGGACCAAAACCACAAACAATTTGAGAGGCCCAATCATCTCAATCCAAATTTTTCTGATGTTGAACCGAAGTATGAAATCACTCTGGGGGCAGCCTACTTGGAACCAGATCAAATCTATTCAGTTGGAGCCTGCAAGATTTTGTTGGATAAACTCCCTTTTGGGCAAAGGGAAAGGCAACAGTGCAGGGACGAGTTTGCTAAGGGACAAATTTTGCTAAGGGACACATTTTGCTTAGTGACAAGTTTTGCTAAGGGACAAATTTTGCTAAGGGACAAGTTTGGCTAAGGGCCAAATTTTGCTAAAGGGAAAATTTTGCTAAGGGACAAATTTTTCAGTGACAAGTTTTGCTAAGGGACAAATTTTGCTCAGTGACAAGTTTTGCTAAGGGACAAATTTTGCTAAGGGACAAGTTTGGCTAAGGGACAACTTTTGCTAAAGGGAAAATTTTGCTAACGGACAAATTTTTCAGTGACAAGTTTTGCTAAGGGACAAATTTTGCTAAGGGACAAGTTTTGCTAAGTGACAAATTTTGCTAAAGGGAAAATTTTGCTAAGGGGCAAATTGTGCTAAGGGACAAATTTTGCTCAGTGACAATTTTTGCTTAGGGGCAAATTTTGCTAAGGGACAAATTTTGCTAAGGGACAAATTTTGCTAAGGGACAAGTTTTGCTAAGGGACAATTTTTTCAGTGACAAGTTTTGCTAAGGGACAAATTTTGCTAAGGGAAAACCCTTGCTTGATGTTGTGCTTTTTTTTGTGCTCTCGGCCATGCTTTTGGAAAAGCTAGAAAATATCAAAAGCACAACTTCCCATGCAAAAAGGGCACAAAAAGTGCACAACTTCCCTGATGATTTGATCCCGAAAATTAGCACAACAAGCGGCACAACTAACCACAAGAAAAAGCACAACAAAACCCACAACGTTTAGGCTTAAAGAGCACAACTTCCCTGATCATTTTGCACAACAACAAGCTAAGGAAAAATAAAAACATCTAATTGGCTTTATATTTGGCACCGACCACAACTTCATCAACAAATTACTTTACTTCGTGTGATCCCCACCATGACATTTATGGATTTGTTACTGGCAAATCTTCTGGCATTCTATCTGACATATCTTCTGGCATTCGATCTGGCATACCTTCTGGCATTCTACCTGGCATATCTTCTGGCATATGTTCTGGCATATCTTCTGCCATCCTATCTGGCAAATCTTCTGGCATTCTATCTGGCAAACATTCTGGCATACATTCTGGCATTCTATCTGATATTCTATCTGGCACACCTTCTGGCATTCTATCTGGCATATTTTCTGGCATATGTTCTGGCATATCTTCTGGCATTCTATCTGTCATTCTATCTGGCATATCTTCTGGCATATCTTCTGACATCCTATCTGGCATTCTATCTAGCAAATGTTCTGGCATTCTATCTGGCAAACATTCTGGCACTTTATCTGGCATACCATCTGGCATATCTTATGGCATACCTTCAGGTATTCTATTTGGCATATCTCATGGCATTTTATCTGGCATATCTTCTGGCATTCTATCTGACATTCCACCTGGCATATCTTCTGGCATTCTATCTGGCCGTTGAGGTCCAGCGGCGCACATTCTTTCTAACTTTCTTCTGCGCATTCTTTGTCCCATATCTTCCTACATGAGGTCCGGCAGGGAACACTTGGCGTGGATACTCGCGGTTGAGGTCCGGCAGGGAACACTGGGCGTGGATGGTCGTGGTTGAGGTCCGGCAGGGAGCACTGGGCGTGGATGGTCGTGGTTGAGGTCCGGCAGGGAACACTGGGCGGGGATGGTCGTGGTTGAGGTCCGGCAGGGAACACTGGGCGTGGATGGTCGCGGTTGAGGTCCGACAGGGATCTGGAGCTCGCAGTGGAGGTCCGGCTGTGCCCACTGGGATCTGGACTGCGAGGAGGAGGCGGCGGTTGAGCAGGAGGAGGAGGAGGAGATGAGGAGAGGAGAGGAGGAGAAGGCAACTGACATAAAATCTAACAACCCTCACCTGGCAGGTGGGGAAAAAAGCACAAAAAGTGCACAACTTCCCTGATGATTTGATCGCAAAAATTAGCACAACAAACTTCACAACTTCATCAACAAAAAAAGCACAAAAAGTGCACAACTTCCCTGATGATTTGATCACAAAAATTGGCACAACAAACAGCACAACTAACCACAAGAAAAAGCACAAAAAAACCCACAACGTTTAGGCTTAAAAAGCACAACTTCCCAGCCCAAAAGTTTACAACCGCAGCCCCCCCCA